ACTAAGTGGGTGAAGACTCCCTGTGGTTAATCAGCTCAGAAGGGAAAGGCCAGCCTGCGCTACCCCTGCTTGCACCCCAGTAGCCACCAATAGACAGGGGAAAGCAGCAAACAGCAGACACACCTAGCCCACACACTTCAGAGTAACTATGATCAATACAGGAAGTCCTGGGGACCCTGCTACCCACTTGTCCAGAAGAAACTAGGAACAGGACAAGAGGAAGAAGCAAAAGGCAGTCTCTGGCCTCCAACCTTAGCAACTAGTCCAGGAGATGTAAACACAGAAGAGATTGGGAGTTGCACACCTGTAGTTTTTGAAACAATGGCAACTGAAATAAACAAACAACTCAGGAAGCTATGAAAGAACTTAGAACAGATGAAAGGTGCTCAGGAAGGACATTTTCAGAAATCGGTCCTATGTGGAGGTAAAGTGTGCCAAGTACAGAAAAACCACTCAGCCTTCAAATATCATCCTGAGGAGTAAAAAGAGTTTGTAGGTGAAATACAGGAAAGCAAATGGTCTGTCTCACAAAAAGAAACAATTGTCAAGGATGGTGATTCAAATTCCTCGACTTTCTTTATGGCTGTTACATTATACTTAATCATTGTCATCACAGAATCCTACAATGTCCAGTACACAATATGATGAGAGAGGATTACAGCTGAAGGAGGTGCAGGATCTGCGCTCATCTGAGAGAATTCAGTACAGCTGCAGACAGCAGAGGAGACAGAGGAGAGGACAGGACAGCTTGAGCAGCCTCTGCCTCCACCACCTTCCATACTGTGCTCAGAGCCCCCAAATCCTCAAACCCAGGTCTTATTCTCCCCTTGATGATCATGAAAGAGTTTTTGGCACAGTTAGAAGACAGAATATAAAGTGTCCTTTATTTTAAGGATGCAGAGAGAAACTCCATGACCCCTGAGGCCTAGATTCCTCTGCTGAACATATATTGTTGGGGCATACATATAGCTTTGGTCTCGGCTGGTGCCTAAAGCATCAGTGCAGATGCTTCAGCAGCCACTTGGAACTCATTTTGCAATACAGGTAAATTGCCTAGAGTTTGGCAAAATAACCTCAAGGTAAACATCCCTTGGTCCTGCCTCTCACTGCTGTAGTGTCCTATCCAGGGAAAATCCTTTCAGATTACAGCAAGGTTTATCTCAGCTGAGTATTTGGAACATCCAGGTGTGCCATGAGATGCAGATAGAGTCACAGACCGAGAAGGACACACCTGACAGACATGCACCTTCAACCACCTGGTCACACACCTGACAGACTCAAGTCCATGTCTATATTGGTTTCTGAGATCATGAATGGAAAAGCCCAGTACTGGGAGCACACCAGACAAGCACTGTGTCCTTGCTGGAGAGAATGTGTCCTGTAGAGCTTGGGTCTCCCTCATGGAGATGAACTTTCACCAGGCAACTGCTGCCTTCAATTTGTGACCCTGAAACCACACCACCAAGGTCAGTAGGCAAAGGGGAGAGCAAAAGAGAACTTAACAGGGAACCTGCTCTGAACCTCAGTCAATAACAGATTCCAAAAAGGGGACATGTTCCTCCAGGACCTGGATCATTTAATGATCTAAAATTAGAATCCTGTAAAGACTGCAATGCTTTACTTATCTTTGTTCTATAGGGGGCCCAGGTAGTGACAATCTGTAAGAACCTAGGACTCCTTCATCTACAAATGCCCTGGTTTTCCTTTGGCAACACCAGCAGGTGTCTGAGGCAGAGAAGTTATTTTCTCCACAGATGGATGATAACTTTCCAGGAGCTGAATGCAGACTGTAGGTAATGCAGGTTGGAATTTAAAGGTTTTTACAACTTTATATACTTTTTTCTGAGTTTCCACATTGAGCGGACTGCAGTACTATGAAAGAAGACTCTGAGAACACTGGATTTGAAACAAGAGGGCCCAGAGTGCTAGAAGCAGTGCAAACCTGTAAAAGTACCTTTTACTTCTGTCAGCCTTGTGTCCCAGATCAGAGACATCTGTTCAGGGAAAATGAACACAGGATGAATATCAGCAAAGCCAGGCTTAAACCCCCTGCAGGGGCCACTTGCTTCTCAGGGAGACACTGCTAGAGTGCTAAGGGCCTTCTCTCGATCCCAACACACAAATCCTGGTGATTTCTTGGGGAATATGGATGGTTAGGTGACACAGAGGATAGATCAAATTGGAGGTGGACATAGTGTCATGCGAGCTGGATGTAGGACATTTCCGGTATCCCATCTCTGAGTGCTCAACTTGGATGGAAGGCAATGGTACAGAGCATTTCTCATCAATAAGGACAAATTTTGTTATAGTGTTTTACACAACACCATCAGTTATCAGCATGTATTTTCTTCTACTTGTTACTCCTGAGCAATTTCTAGGGTTGGAGTGCTTTCTGCACACAGGTGCTGAAGGTTGTGCTTACTACTAGCTTTAATTAAACACAAGGCATTCAACTCCAGACACCAGCTCAAGATTCTATTTTGTGGCTGCTGCCCTCTGTGGCCCTGTAGACCCTGCTGTGCAACACTGTATTACAGACAAAGAGAGTGAAATCAGTGTGCACCAAGACAGAACAGCCATGTGGAGACAGAAAATTGACATTTAGGGCCCCAAGTGGCTGAGCTGCACTGTGAGGCAGCTAACGTGCTTTGGAGAGAAAGAATGGAGAGGGGGTATGTGGTAGGACTGTACATCATAGACACATAGAGTCATATATGCAGATACATGCACACACACACAGAGACACTCACACACACACAGGAACACAGACACACAGAGAGACACACTCACATAGTGCCTTTCGACCATTCCTCCTTTGATGTAGCTGCTTTATGTCTTATTCTACATTTTTACCAATATGAGGTGAACTCTGTGCTCTGTCTCACATTCCCTCCGTGGTCTGATCTTCAAGAAAATATGGGCTAAAATACACCTTCACTACAAATTCCATTTCCAATATCTGAAAATTTCAGATAGTTTATCACAGTAATAGAAAGTTCAGTAACACTAATGTGGAATGGCAAAAGTTCAGTTACCATCTCTTCTTATAAATACAAAAAACATTCAGCAATTCAAAATTCACTAATAGGGCTGGGGATTTAGCTCAGTAGCCTAAGCGCCTGCATTGCAAGCATGCAGTCATGAGTTTGATCCCCAGTAGCCCCCAAAAACAAAAGAAAGCATTAATAACAGAATGTATTTAATATTAAGACCAATAAAGCACCAGTGCACTGTGGAGGTTGTCACAGAGGTAGTGTGCCAGTTAACTGCATGAATTTCATATGGAACCTGCTAGTGCCAGGTTTCCAATCTTTACTAAGGAGTGAATTCAGGACTCAGATAAGTCAGAAGCCTGATGGTTAGAAACAGAATTGTATGCACTTGATGTGAGAAACATCCATCACATTAAATCTGGTTAGATACATGACTGGTAGTTAAAACTCCATCAAAACACTTAAAAAAAAATCTCCTGTTCAAGAGGCACTGTTATTAGGTAGATAGCAAGACTATTACCAAAACCCAACAAGTAATCATTGCAGAGAAAATTATTGAACCTTTTAATTTGACAGAAATAGAGCTCAGGGACTCACAAGGACATGGAATATAGCTTGGACAAAAGCAGGAACTTGGGAGTTATTTTTCTTATTTACTAGAAAGTAGAAAAGAAAGAAAAGACGTTTTAGCTGCTCAATAACTGGAATCCATAAAAAAGAAAAATGATTTTCTACCTGACCTAGTCACAGGTGAGGGTGCCCACCCTACTACTGTCCTATAGCAAATGAGTGAATGTAACATTCATAAAACTAAGGGCTTAGAGATCTCAAGATTGAAATGGGAAATGAAAACACTTTGTTTGCAAGAAGGAAAAGTAATGAGGGCCAGACACCTACCTGTGAGAAGGTAGTGGCCAGATAACTGAGGGCCTTTGTTCCTGCTGCACTGATTAAAGAGACAAAAAAGCCCTTTCCTGGGACTTGTGCCAGGTCCTGCAGTCCCAACTCAGGTACCATTGCCTTCCTGCAAATTCCTACATCAGATTCATTAGATTTTCTTTCATGCTGTCTATATTTTAGACCTAAAATTTATGAGTTGTTTAAAATCAACCTTAGATATGAAGTCAGGTCAACAATTAGGCAACAGGATAGTGCACTAATTATAATGACCCTAGCGTGGGATATATCCATACATGCCAAAAGTGTTTTCACTTACAGTCAAAAGTGTTTTTGTATCCCACACTCCATACCAGGAAATCTAGTGGATCACGTGTGGGACTCTGTTTTAGCAATTGTTGTGAACCTCAGCTTGGCTAGGTTTATCATGAAAATTTAGGTATGATTTATGACACTGAATACAGAATGAAACTTCTCTGAAGCAGTTGGACTGTCTTTTTTCCTTCATCTTTACTTTTCCCAGAAACCTGTTACTTTTTATGTATAGTTTCTTTCTTTTCTTTCTTTTTTTTTTTTTTTTTTGTCTTTTTCATTTTTATCGGTACCAGGGATCAAACTCACGACCGCCTGCTTGCAAGGCAGGCGCTTATGCCGCTGAGCTAAATCTCCAGCCCCTTATGTATAGTTTCTTCATTCACGCTGTAATGCAGTTCTCTTGGTGGATGCACACTAATTAGTTCACTGCAAATGAGCAGACAGAGAAAGCCCCTGAGAAAATCTGGGCAATAAAAGTTATGGGCTCATTTCTGACATCAGCCGCTACCCATTGCAGTTTGTCCTCGTCGGACTTGGCCAAATAATCTTTTATGTCCTCAAGGGATTTGTTTTTTCCAGAGGATGTTGACCAGCCAACATTTAGGACCCAACTTAAGGTGAGGATGGAGCCCTTCAGGAAACCCAGGACATCACTGAAAAGCCAGTAGTAAATCCCTTAAAGGGAAGTATGAATACTGGCAGATGAGGGTGACATCACAGGAGAGCGACGGACCAGGAGCCAATCATTGATAAAGATGGGGCTGGCTGCTCACCCAATCAGGTGGGCCAAGGGAGGAGGGTCTTCCCTGCCGTGGTGCAGAAGGGGTCTCGGTGAGTTCAGAGCTGAGACCCTGGAGCTGAGCACACTTCTAGTTTCTGTGAGTTCTTATTGTGGGCTACAAAGGATCCTCGGAGCCCCTCAAGCATCACAATGGTAACTTGATGGTACCGGAGCTGGGAATGGGTTGGAATTGTGTGAGTTTTGGAAGGAAATGGGATGAAACACTGTAAGCCCAGATCGTCTTTTGGGCAGCCCCAGGCACAGCTGTGTTTTGGGATGAGCGGTTGTTTGGAGGCAAACCTGAGTTGTGTCCTCAAAATGACAAAAACTATCATCTGAATTCCATATGTGAGACCTCTCCTTGAATGATATTACTTCATAAACAGAACTCATAATCTCACAACACTGATTGCGGAGTTCCGAAACCAAAATAAGAAATGAGAAGAGCTCCTTGGCTTCCGGAATGCTTCCCCTGTGAGTAGTCAGCTGACCGGGCACACCGTGGCTCTGTGGACTTAAAATAGACATCTGTGTTTCTATTTATCTTCCTTTTTCTCTTTTCTTTTCTGTTTCATTTTTTATTATTTGGATACAGAGTGTATCTGTGTGGTCTGGACCTTACCTCTGGGCCTTCTTCCTCCAACAGCCTCCATTGTGAGGAGATGACAGTCCTGAGTCACAGCACCCAGAAAAAACCACTACTTTGAGCCCAGGTTCTCTAACCCATTTGTTCAGCCTGTGGGGTCTACAGGAAACGGGGTTTAGAGGTAAACTGGCAGTATGTATTTAGTGTTCTGTTATCTCAGGAGTTTAGTAAAAAGCAGCTGCAAGTTCCCATGGTAGACAGAAATGTGCCTTTTATTGTGGGTGAGAACATTCACTGCTGGTTCAAACACTATTTTCATTTTAATTTTTATCAAACTCAGTAATTTTGCAGCTTTTCTAGTGTCTTAATTATACGCTGAGTAAATAAACACTTTTTTACAATTGAACTACTGAAGCAAGGCTTATCATAGTTTAGAATGCTGTGAGGTATTTGGGAGATGGCAATGCATTAGCTCCTGAGGGGAAAGTTCCTGCAGACAATAACTTCCTGTAGGTGCTGCCTGTTAATCCCACACTGGTGTCTCTAGGCATGAAGAGATGTGATATATAGAGAATGGAAACGGAAATGGGTGTCATATCTGAAAAAATTGCTGTAGCCTTTGGGCTGTGCTTAGACTTTGACCTTCAATTTGCAACACTTAGTTGGGCATAGTGACAGGTGCCCTTATTCCCAGCACTCAGGTGTCTCATTCTGGAGGATCCTTGCAAGTTTAAGGCAAGCCTTGGCTCTGAAGTGAGCTCAAGGGTGTCCTAAATTGCATTGTGAGACCCTGTCTCAAAAAGACAAAAAAATTTTAAACTCTGAGATGGATTTTTTGCTGAAGTAGGGGTATATTCACATAGGATCTGCATGAGTATTAAAGAATAAAAACAAAAGTTCTTTTTGAATGAGAAGAGCCAAAGGGATTGAAAGGAAATGGGAGAGCAGAGGCACGTGGTGGGAGGCCCAGTCAGCAGCCAGAAGACTAAAGGAATTCTGTGGTGAGCTTGACCTAGTGTGACAGCACTGAAGGGATGTCTGCCTGCTAGGTCTGAGAGTAGGAAAGGGGTCAGAGGCCTATAGAAAGGAGGGAGACCTTGTCATAGATTAGTACTTCCTCTGGGTCTACTGATCAGCTCCTCCCATCATCTCTGAGGTTAGATAGGAAATTAGAACCCTTGTATTGGTGTTTTGAAAATATATTGGGCATCATAGCTAAAGTAGCAAGGGAAGTTTTTTATGTTGGACACCAAAGATTTCAAGGCACATATCATGTTTCTTATTGTCCAGTGACTGGCCTCAGAAATTTGGCCCTTAGCTTCATCCTCCCAAATTTGAAAAAAAAAATTAATTGTTTAAAAATATTTTTATTGCGTTTTGAGATAAGGTTTTACTACTTTGCTAACTTGGCAAGAAGTCTTGAGACTTTGCCAGCACTTGGACTGTTGAGTATGTGCAGTACAAGTTCATGTTCTCTCAAATTTAAAAATGAGTTTTAGGAATAGTAGAGGTTAAATGCAGAAGTATTTATTGAGAGAAAGAAAACTTCTGTCTGAGAGAGAGACAGAAGGATTCTCCGGTAGGCTTCTGAAGACTTTTTCTAGGAATTTTTCTGGAATAAAACCATGAGGTGAGGCAAGCGTAAAGCCGGAAAAAGTGTGAAGGGAGTCTCAAGCATCATCTACTGTAGTGCAAGGGTTTCAGGTGAGCACTACCTTGCCTGGGTCAGTGTTTTCACTTTTATGTCACCAAATTCCACCAAGGTTTACAGTTTTAGGGTAAAGTAAACAACACTGAGTCATGGTGGTGCACAAATTTAATGCCAGCGCCTTGTGAGAGTTAGGAGTGTTTCAAAACTAACAGCACTCTGGATAACTGAGCAAGAGATTTTTTGATATGAGATGCACATTGAAGGTTTACATCCACCCTAAATTACCTTTTATAAAGTCCATGGGACCTTCGATAATGAGAAAATATTTGTAGTTTAAACTTCTATTGAATTTTTAAGTTGACACATAGTATCTACTATTGATACAAGGCACAATGCAAAGTTTATATGCTCATATTAGGGGACTCAGAGATGAGTCTCTGGTTTCAGAAAAAGATACCATAGGTGAACAACCTGTGACTCACAGTGTCTTACATTCAATAATGTACATGTGATATTTAGTGGTGTATTATAAATTTATCTTTCTGTTATATCAGAAATAAAGATCAAGGCATTTGTATTCGGCACTTTGAAAAAATCTAATGCTTAGTAATGGTGTTTGCAATATCAGGCTTGTTTTTGTGCATATTCAGAGCATTTTGTTGTCAATTATTTTTAGGTTAATCAAGTCATTTTCCTTTTGCAACTCAAATGTTACTTTTATGTCACTCCTTCCAGTCTTCATATTGTCCCCTACACAACACAAGCCTCACTCGGTTGTTTGCAGTTTGGAGAGCTGTTTTCACCTGTTTCTCTTGAGCAGCAACATCAGGAGAGCAGTGCAATCCTGTTTGGATATGTGAACACCATTGGGGCATTTTGTGTCTTTGTTTCCCTGGATTTTATTTTTATTATTGTACTGATATGGTCCAGTCTGGTCATACTGCTTGACATGTGTCTCCCACATGAGAGGATAAAATGGAAATTTTAAATTGGCAGAAACTGAGCTGAGTGGTTAGCACTAGGGTCAGGAGTAGATATAACAAGTATTTCTGTAATATATCTTTTAGTGTCATATCTGTAACACAGCATCAGGTTTATAATTTCAAATGAATGGTGTGTTTGCCTCAGAAGGATTCAAATGTTTGGCAGTTTCTCCTTTTTAAAGAGAGAGAAGTTTGTAAGGTAAATAAGACTTTCTGGAGTACTGACTACATGCACAGTGGTGTGAGCATACAAGAAAGTGTTCAAAAAGGTGACTAGAACATGAAAGTCACTAGAGATAGAGCACCTGGGGCTACACTCAAGTGGATGGGGAAGGAGACAGTGCATAGGAAAAGTGGATAATTCCCATTTGATATGGAAAAGGGGCTGCCTATTAAACACACAAATTAATCTCTTTGAAATTAGCAATTCACATCTACATGCAGTTTTTAAAAACTGGGAATCAAACTCACAATCTCATTGCCAGGCAGGCACTGCGCTGCTGAGGTACATCATTGGCCTCATAAAAGAATTTTTTCTGTGAGTGCAGAGAGAGAAGCACAATTGGTCATGTAATTATTATAATTCATTGGTAGTGACTGAACACTGTTGAAAACGACATGCTAAATGATGCACTTTGTGCTTTTTATAGCTGTTTCACGTGTGGTTTTCACATTTGTGAAATTACAGAATGTGAATTGCATGTGGTGTAATGCTGGTAATTTCAGTCCACTTGTTTTTACCTGACACATATTTACATTGGTTTGTATCTGTATTTCAAACCAGAGATCTTGTCTGTGGTACAGTATGTCATAAATTCTACTAAAGTTTTGTTGCAACTATAATTTTTTTCACCATATACAGTGTTACTTGAAAGTGACTACATTTGTATGCAATCCAACTGATTCTCTGCTAATTTTATTTCATTTGTTATGTCTTTTCTGTGTCCACTGACATCACTGTAGGAAGTTTTCCCTCTGGATTATAATGTGTTTAATTACATTAATTACTCAATAATGCCTCTAATACTTTTAAGAGTTTCTTCTTTATTGTTGTTTAGATTCTGCACAAATACAGAACAATGAAACATCTTATTTTCTGTGGAGTGATTAACATTTTTATATTGCAGCAGTTTTCTCTAGTGCTGTCTCAGAACTTAGCTCCTGGGGTCTCAGGTAAGAGCCTGTTATGGCAGTGCTGGCCCTAGTCTTAGACTTCCCAAAGACGGTGATGCAGAGTACTGATTCATGCACTCAGCTCACAGCCACACTGATGAGCTTCCCTCTGCCCTGTGTTTGCTAATGTTCTGAGATTGAAATCTTTCTTCTTTTCTATACCTGCATTCATTGTTTTTAATATGAGTTGAGGCATCAATTTTGAGTAATTGAAATAATTCCAAATGTACATTCTGTCATAGATTATGAAATCCTTAATCATTTAAGATGTTTTTGAAATGTGTCATTTAAAAAAGTTGTGATTAGATCTCTCATTCTGAGAGTATTCTTAATTTGTTTCTGCTCTTCATTTCTAATTTCATCCCAGTATTGTGTAAGAGCCTGCTGGGCATGGCTTCCACTCCACTGACTACATTACTTTCTGTATTGCTGCTCTGATCCTGGGCCATATGTGTGAATGCTTGGCTTTTTGTAAGGCCAGTGTGCTGTGTATTTCTGTGATAAAACATTTGATAGAATTCATCTGATATATTTCTTTGAATTGTTATCTTGTTTATTTTATGTGTGACTTTAAAGATTGTTCTGCCTTCTGTTAGTCACTGATTGAGTTGTTTTGAATTCTTAAATATATACTTTAAAAGACTGATTTTTTTTCTTCCAATCCTATTTCTGCTTTTGTGTTTTGTTTTTCTTTGTAATTGGATATGTATTAAGGAATGATGTTTGTGTTTAAAGAACTGCTGATTGTACATGTGCAATATAGTAAAGCTAATAATAGCTTCAGTAGATTTTGTCAAATGAATGCGACCCAAGTATGTCTGTATGCATAGCTTTCTATTTAATCTATCCTCATCAGTTCCATATAATAAGCACTGGTCTCCAGGTAGTTAGAGTATTTGCCCATTACCGAGGTGTCTAGCATTTCTGACATGGGTTCTTTCAGTCCCTTTAATCTGACCTGTTCTCTTGGTAATGTGACCTGCTCTCTTGATAGGCTGACCTGTTCTGCTGTTAGTGAATTTAGCGTTTCATGACTGTCAGCTCTGGATTTGTTGCACTCATGTTTGCAACTGTAGTTTGC